AACAGTACTGTTACTTGGGAGGGGTGAAACGGTAATGTCAGAATTTCTCTTTTCAGATGTGATAAGTGACATCAGTCCTTTGAAAATTATATGGTTAACTTTTAATTATAAAATTCTTAGGTGAGCTATATGCGCAGCTGTAATGATGGGTGACAGGTGCTTTATGCCAAATTTGCACAAAGTGTCTCGCAGACAATACAAAGAGCGATAGTTGGAAAACCCTAGTGCTTTCCCGTGAACGCCACCCAGAAGCTGGAGCTTTAATTATAGAGCACCAAAGCAAAGGAAATAAGCTCCATCTGTCTCTCATGGTCATAGTACTTAAAATATACTTTCAAATATCTGGATTCCCAAATTCCTCCTGTGTATACCCCCAAGAGATGACCGACGATGCCTGTTCAATAATAAACGCACAGGGAAGCGTTAGTTGCCATAGGAAAAGGTTAAAACGTTGGCTGAGCAAGGTGGGAAAAAACCTTATGTACATCCTGTATCTGCCTCCATCAGCCAAATCAGAGCAGCATGATAATCAGCTTTGCCCCTTTTTCAGGTACTTTTTTTTTTTTTTTTTAAATTTGTAAACTCCTCATCTCGTTCAAAGTGTAGTTAAGAATTAAACAGTGTAAGCAGCAACCCTGCAGGACTTCTACTGGAGAATATAATTTTCTGTGGCTGTTTAACTCCTTGGCTAGTCCTGAGAACACCATACAGGATGAAGTGACAAGCTCTGGCTCTCTAAGCCCGAAGCGTCAGCTTACTTAAGCAGCGCTTGCTGCTAGATGTTGCCCTTGCTTCTCATCTCCTGTCACCAGCAGCGCTCCGGTGGGAGGGCTAAATGGCTTCCCGGGAAGGCAGAGGTGCAGCCAGGCCCGCTCCCTCAGTTGTCTTTGTTATCCTTCAAGGGTGGTGTTAGGCTCCAGGTCACAGGATGGTGAAGCAGCGAGGCCCTTTAAATGGTGCCAGTGTCAGCTGGCACCCCCAGACGATGGGGCTGTTCTGAACATGGCAGCCTGAGCCTGTTTACAAGAAGTAAACCATGCTTGTTTGGGTCAGCTGCGCACCTCCTGCATGCTGTTCAGTTCTGAAACTTCTGCTTCCACCCACACTGTAGAGGAGTTTCTCAGCCTTTTTAAGGTTTTGGGATGTGCTGTGGGGCCTGTCTGGGGTGAGATGCTGTTAGTGCTTTTGCTAGCTTTTTATAGCAGATGCCTGTTACTCTTACCATCCTTATTTTGCTGCTTAAGAAGCCTTTTGCTTCTGAAACTTCTGTTGTTAAGTACTGGCGTGTTAATGTGTTTTCATTGTCACATAATTGTACTGTTGTCACATAATCTACTGTTCAGCACATGGTCCTACCTCCATCCTTCCAGGACAGTTCCCACACTATTGCTGCTAGCGGTTGGGGGAACTGAAATTGAGGTTGGGAAGCTGCTTTTTAAAGTTTTTAAATTGTTCGAGTCATCCTGAGCTCTGCTTGAGTCCAGTTTTATTAGGTGAACACTGAAGTCAGTGTTCAGTGATAAGGCTTCCTAGCAGGGAACACTGTATAAGGAAGCATACTCTAGAAAGAGCTCCCTTATCTTAACCAGTACTTTGATATAATCATTGGAAATAACCGTCTACTAATGACAGATGGTGGGTTTTTGTGCCTCGAGACACTGTAAGCAACTGTTAGTTACAGCACAAATATCTTTTTCTGAACAGTTCTTCCTTACTACTTTTAAAAAAGATGATTGAAATTGCTATCGGTCAGAGCATTGTGTCTATTTTAAGTAGGTCTGAGGCTCAGGGAAGCAACGTGTGCAAGAACAGTTTTCACAAGTAATTGCGAACATTGTCAAAACTGCATGCGTTAAAGCCACAGTGCCTACATCTGTAACATCAGCTGGAGTGGAAAACATGACCCAAGTAATTCAGCTCATTTGCTCTCATCAGGCAAAAAGCGCTTTTCTTTGAATGCATCTACTTCAGATGCAAACACATTTAATGAGCTTGTAACAACTTCATACTAAGACTGTTCATTCTTTGGATACATAATTTCTACATTTAAAGTAAGAAACTAAGAAAAAAAAGTGTTCTTAATCCAAAACTGTGGTTGATTCTTTGTATGATTTTAAAAGCTACGTCTGCTTTCCTACTGTGTGCTTCAAAACCATGTGCATTTAAATGACAGCAGCCACATCGGAGACACTGAGGACTCTACCGTCTCCCCCCAAGCTGGACTAATGCCAGGACAATCTAAATTCATAAAACTGAATTCTTACCAGAGCTTATACAAATTCAGTTTGGTATGCACTCATTTTATGAAATGCCTAGCACAAAAACTATTCTTCCTCCTTGTGTTTTTAAGGAAGCAATTTCAAAACACTAGGTACACGCTAGACTTGGGAGACTATTATTTAAGCTATGATTTTTTAAAAATAGATGGGTTATTTACATATGTGAAGAAACACGGGCATCTGAGTAACCAAACTAGCATTTAGATTGCTAGGCATGTTAGTCAGAAGAAATGTAAGATATGCATCATTCTTTCAGACCCAATAAAAGTTTTTGCCTATGAGACTGGTTGTAGCATTTATTGAGAATGTTGGGGTTTATTTCCTTTCAGCATCTAAAGATTAATCCCTCACAAATTTTATATTATTAAAATAATTGCATTACCAAGATCTGAGATTCCTGAATTGAGTTACCAAACACACACTTCAGCTATCGAAATATTTACATTGACTGAAATTAACCCAAGTTCCTAAAATGTTGCCTGCATCTAGTAACTCGTACACATATGCTAGCTCAGAAACGGACTCTTTAAGTTGAATTAAAAGTAGTTTGGAATGGTTTTGTTCCATATGGGAATAACACTAGTATTGTTTGACGACTTCCCATGAAAGCCTCGAGAAGTGTTAAAGGGAGCAGTTAGCTGAGCACCGAATGGTTAAAACTGTTGAAACACATCTCACATTTTATCCAACACTTGCTCTCTCTAGGCAAATGCTCTATTTCATCAGATACTTCAAAAATTCAGGTGATACTCAACATCATGTTAGCATACCTTACCTGTTCAACCTCCAATGAAATGACATGAGTGCATAACTGTCACAAAACTGTTACATCTAATTGTCTACCTAGTGCTGGGATCCCAAAGCTCTGGGAACAAGTCCTTACTCAGAAAAGCAACCTTGGGTGAAGGAATGGCAGAGGGGTTCAGCTCTCTCACTTTCTAGCTGAAAGCACCAGCCACTGGACTGTTGGGTGTATGATGAGAATCATAGAATTGTTTAGGTTGGAAAAGACCTTTAAGATCATCCAGTCCAACCATTAACCTAACATTACCAAGTCCACCACTAAACCAATTAAGGGTAGAGTAGCAACCCCACACCTCCTGGTTTGGTGGCTGGATCATTTATAATGAAAGTAAAAACTAGGAATCATTAAGATTGGAAAGGACCTCTAAGATCATCATTCCAATCATCAACCCAAAACCACCATGCCCACTAAACCATGTCCCCAAGTGCCACGTCTACCCGTTATTTGAACTCTTCCAGGGATGGTGACTCCACCACCTCTCTGGGAAGCCTGTTCCAATGCTTGACTACCCTTGGAACAGGCTGCCCAGAGAGGTAGTATCTCTCTCCAGAAAGAGAAATTAAGACGTCTTCCACCAAACAGCATTTATAAATAAGAATTCCAAGAAAAAACAGGAACGTTGGAGGAGTAAGATGAGTACTTGTAGGCACCATGCAGGAATTGACTAAAATTGCAGGTGCCTGAACAATTCCAGAAGTCCCGTAGCACCACCTGCAAATAACAAGTGGCAGCCTTAAAACCATATCCTGCTCGCATCTTTGGATTCCAGCTGGAAGGTGGTATGACTTGGCTGCCAAAAATGCTTGATTTGGCATGAGACTGAGAACGGGACAGGAGAAGACCGAGGTTTCAAGCACTTACTGCGCACTCCAAAATGCAGATTCACAAAACCGACAAAAAAAGTATGCCTGTAAACATCATCTTGCAATACTCTTTTAGCTACCAATTCTGCATCTGCTCAGTTAGCTGCAGCTCAGTGGTGGTTGGTACTAGCCAGCCTCTCCTCAGAATCACCCTCTAGAAAGCTCATGTGCCTGTTGCTGCAGGGGCTTGATTCAGCAGCCTCTCTTGGGATCAACTTCTGCCACAGCTGCACAGGACCATGCCAGTCTTCTGCCAGTAACTGAGTAGGTGGCATCTAGCTGAGAGGCAAAAGGAATCCCGAGCTGTGAAGCGCAGAAGCTGGGGCACTCACTGAAGTAAACAAGAACCCAGCGGTCCACCTATTCAAAGAACAAGCTTGCTTCTAAGGACACTAAACCTCAGGGACCCAAGCCATGGACCTAGATTCTTTGTAGTAAGCGTACTGTACAAATCCAATACTAATTCATCTCCAGCAGTGCACCCCAAGTTAACAGATGTTTTTCCATCTTACAGTTTCTAGATGTTCATCTCGCCAAGCAACCTGAAGATTCATTGAGAAAAACCTGTGCATAATACCAGCATACAACAGAAAGGTCCACAAGGAAAGTAGTAATTCCTTCTTCAGAGCAGAATTCAAAGAATATGCAATAAATAACGCACAAGCCAGACAGAGAGAGTAACAGAAAATTTGCAATGGTTGTTCAGAAAGTAAATGTCTGCCAGGAAGGCAGGGACCCAAAGAAAAAAAGGCGGGGGCGGGGAGACTCAATGTAACACATATATACAGAGATTAATTCAAGACTGACATAACTAAGATGGCAGTCCACCCTTAGTCCTCTCCTACTTTGAAGGTTTTCCAACATTCATGTTCTTTTAACACAAGCCTGTGGATAATATCACAATCTTAGTTCCAGGAAATTAGAGCAGGTCAATACAGCCCTTTCATTCAAAGTACAATCATTATCATTAAAATTTTTCCTTTCCTAGCTTTTTTAATAGTCTGAATTGTTTAATCACTTAGACATTTACACCCAGTAAAGCACCACACAAGATTCTGTAAAACTTTAATTTATTCCCCTCCCAAGTATCCAGAATAGAAGACCCTCTTAAGTTGAAGAAAAATGTGACAAAGAAATAGATTACCAGGATAGCTGTTCACATGAAGAAGAAGAAGAAAAAGCACATGCTACCAAGGTTACACAGAAAACAACCCAAAAGTCCTATTTAATGGGATAGTGCAAGTTAACAGCATGTCTCTGTCAAGGATACCTTCATTTGGATTATAAAAGTTTTACAGAACAGTTAGATCAAGAGTCTGGATGGGTCTCTGATATTTTACTCTAGCATTAGGAACGTACTGTTTGAAAGATGCTGTACAGAATGACCCACCAAACAAATGTATTTACAAGCCTGGGGAGAAAAAAATTATTTTTCAGTTTATTCAAAATAAAAATACACATAGAATTATGAAAATATAGGTTTACTATTTCCACCACACAGAAGTCAATGCTGCTGTCTGAAAGGCTTGCAAGATTATTTCAAGTTTTTAAAGTTCATCTTTTTCCCTCAATAAGGTGTACCTATGTTCACTGGGTGCCAGTTTCTGGAATGAGCTCTCTGGTGGGCTGCTTGCTAAATCCTGAATTGGCTGAAAAACAGAACAAACAGTAAAAGTGCTTGTTAGATGCATTTTAATAATCAATAGCCTCCATTAAACGAACTTCTAACATTATTTATGGGAGTGCACAAATGTCCAGCATCCTCAAACTGAGGTTTGGGTTTTTTTTGGAAGGCACATTATAAGTGCCAATAATAAGGTGGGATACACACACAGACATACTTTAATAAATTAAGCACCATCAGTTAAAGACATTCCTTTTGTTGGCACATCTCAAAGGTAACGGCCATCACGCAAGTTTCTGTAAAAGTGACTTAAAACTATTTCAAATGCACCCCATTGTAGATGTGAGTCTATCTACCACTTGCTTTGAAGATATTCTGGTTTGTGTGGTTTTTTTGAGATATACCAGGGCAAAGGTGACATCGCTGCCAAAATATTTTAGAATTTGTTTTTTGTGGAAACCTTAAAAAAAAAAACAAAAACACCCAAACAAACACGCAATTCAAGGGACATACATGACCTAAGACAGCAGCCTCCAGTTTAGTTAAGGCTGGTATTTCCATCACACATGCATACACATCTTCCACAAGATGGCAGGATGCCATGCGGAGATGAGAAAGTAAACATCCCGGGGTTTGTATCCATTTTTCAAGGCAGAACGGAGACAAGAGCAAGCCTGCAGCTCTGGGCAAAGAGCCTGTGCCCAGCTAGGCAGCCAGATCCAGGGACTCGGCAGGCTTCCTCCTTCCTGGCCAAGCCTCCAGATTGCAATTGCCTCAGTGTCTCTTCCTCACGCATGCCTGTCTAGCTCTGAGCTGACCTCCTGCCTGGCCTACGCCTCAGTCTCCAGCCCTATTTTCTGCATCTCCTCCTGTTGACCTGAATTCTGGTTGCTCAATGAATTCCTGAGAAACACGGGGAGTTACCAGTTAAATGAATTACTGCTCAGACAATTCAGCCCTCGTGTTTCCATGGCCAGCCATAGCAACATTCAAAAGCAGTCATTCTCCTGGCCCAAGGCAAGCTCTCCAGGGCTTTCACGCTTTTAAATCTTTTAACTTTGAGCAGGGCAAGAGGAGGCTGCACTCACATGGCTTAGCGCAGAGCCACCCTTACCACATCCCACAGATGACCAGGAAAATGAGCCTGTAGCCATAAATCGTTTCTGTCCCTCACCCATGGGTTCTGGGATGGCCCAAGGCACCCCAACACAAGGGCACTAGGTCTCCTCTGGGATCAACATGGTTCTTTGAGCCCTAGACAATGCAACATATAACTTAAGTGTTTAAAAACAGTTACTTGTTTAGAGAGGGCCTGAGGTAATGAGAAGTTTACCTGACAGGCTGTTAGGTTTGCACTTTTCAGCATGACAGTAAGCATATGAGCTGAGTGGTGTATCAAGAAGATACAAGGCTGATCAAGACACAGTTAGAAGACTGGGCTGAGCAGAGGGAATCAGGGCTGGTAATGTCCCTTCTTTTCTGCCTCTTCGATTAAACTAAACAGAGGTGCTCCTGAGTTTTGTCTGGAGAAGCATCTACTAGTTGTGTTCCAGAAGAGATCCCAAGAGTGACTTCCAGGCATGTAATTATACAGCATGACAACCTTTGATCAGAACAGTGACAAACCCAAACTGACAAATGCAGCCTGTGACCACTATTAATGCCGCTTGTTAACTGCATTAATAAAAGTAATAAGCCCTATTACTGCTTATCAGTCTTTTGTTGATGCTCTAACAATCTGCCTCCTGCTTGGATTGGTGACTGAGTAAATATATAAAACATTCAATTGATGTTTCCCCTTAGAAGCACCCTCTCATAGTGTGTCATGTGGGAAATAATGCATCTATGAAGTATCATCAGTTTTTGCACCAAAATCACACGAGAACATAAAAGCAGCTCTATAAGCTCAGAACAGTCATCTGGCCCAAGATCTTCTGTTTCAGTGGAGAAAATACATATTCTTAAACTATTCCCTTATTCAATGCAAACAGGTAGCATACTTCCCCCTAATGCTCTCCCCACCTTGACCCAAAGGAAGTTAAAAGAAGAGCCAAGCAGAAGTGGCAACCTTATGCTTCTATAAACAGACGTCTCTTTCAGGAGACTGAAGTTAAAAGTACATGCATGTCAGAAAGCACAGTTCTGACAAGGAATAAAAAAAAGGTCTTTATTAAATGGCCAAATTAAACATATTTGTTGTAACCTTACCTGACCAGGTGCTACATCAGTTGGATCAGGGCCATGGTGGAACTCTCTATGCAATTTTCCAGAATGCAAGTCTAGTACAAATTGCTTCAGTTTACCTGGAACTCTGGAACAAATCCAACAGAAACACCCATGTGTTTATTACAAACTATGCCCCAACACAGATGATTTAAAGTGCACTGTTTAGAGTAGCCAATTTCTGTTTATCTGGCACACTATGTCCACTTTTAGGTGATTAATAGAGGACAGGAAGCCAAACGGTTTGTTAAGGTATCCTACCAGCTTCTTTTTCTTTCCACTGTCTCTTGAGAACACAGCAAGTATTTCATCTTTTCAATAACTCCCACAGAGTTCTACTAGCCGATAACTTCATTGTATACTCACTTCAGCTCCCCACTAACCATAATGTAAGAGGGAACAGCAGGTTCCAAATGCACAGTTTACAGATACAAATGACAGTTGGGTAGCAGTATTGACAAAACATCTTTGAAAGGCTCTCTAGTGCCTGAGCAACTGCATATACACTAGAGATAAGCACTAAGAGGATATCAATGTAAATCTAATCTGAGATCATCCACTGTCACCCACAGCAAACGTGCTAAACTACAGCATCAAATTTTATTTGTGAAACATCGAATAGACTAAAAAGCTTAAAATGAAGAGTTGATCTAATAAGTATTAAAGATGAGATAAAAAAAACTATAACGTGAGCACTATGCATGCAATCAAAAGGTAATGTATGAATGGAGACAAGTTTTGTAGGGAGTCTTTCATCGGACCAATTATGTTTAGGAAAGAGGGACAAAGTGTGGTCAGACGGGCTATCAGCAGTATTTCAGATCATTAGAAAACTCTATGGATAAAACACAGTATAATGTAGAGTCAGAAGGTATCACTACAGCAACATCTGTAACCAGTCAGTATTACAGTGGTACTCTGAGGGGTCCTCCACTTCCCAGGTAAGATCAGGAATTAGTACTGATGGAGAGAAGGGCGTTCATTCCAGCCTGGTTGCAGGGAGAGCAGAATCACTGCTTCCTGCTCTACCTTGGGCTCCTACCCTGTTCTAGGTCAGGCACACTGCTGGAGACATTCCCCTCCAACCTCTTCTCCTCTCCTAATGTAGCAAGGACATTGGTGCCTACAGCCACTTGTAGCTCAGCCAGTTCTTGCTGAGAAGCCACAACTGATCTGTTGAGCACTCCTTGCTATCATTTCTGACCTGCAACAGCAGGATGAATAGGGCCAGGTGGCCAAAGTATGAGGACAAAATATTGGGTGGTGGTCTGATTTGCCTATGACGTGGCTATCCTCCAAAAAGACGACTCCCTAAAGAGAGAGGAAATCTTTTAGTGGGCTGGTTCTGAAAGTACAGTGTCCAAACCCTATGGGTTGGTGGCAGCACTGAGATTACAAGAGACAGTCTGGGGCCAGTTTGTAAAGGAGTTCAGAAAATGGACTAAAGTGGCAGAAACCCTTGCAGGTAGATGAAAGTCTCAGAATGAAGATTTTACCTATTATTTAAAAAAACCCCAAACCCGCCAACACAAACCCACAAACAAAACCAAAACACAAATCCAAACCACACAAACACACACAAAAAAGTATCACCCCAGGAGCTCCAAGCTCTCCTTGTTTCCAAACTGTTTGTTAGGTATTTCTAAGTATCAGCTCAATCTCCTAGAGTAAGGTTGAATAATTATTTATCATTACGCAACTGTCTACTATCCTAACATCTCTCTTATCTTCACTTATATGTAACAATTGGTATAAAAACAAGCAAATAGCTTCTATTATTCTGATAGTGTTATAGTGTTTCACAGAAACAGAACATGTAAGAAACAAACATGAAAGTCTAAACTAAACATCTCTATTAATATACTTTAGGGCTGTTTCAAAAGTGACAATAAAAGGAGTGCTTTCAAAATGCAAATATCCCACTATTTTTTTTGTGTGGTGAACATGATCTTCCGAAGAAACAGAAACACAGGGAGAAAAATAGTCACTATCAGAGTTTTCACATACATAGCTTTAGGTATTTGAAAAGCACTATTTGAGATACACCAAACAGAGACTACATTTTACGAATATGCCTGTGGAGAATTATGGGGAGAAGCTAGGTTTGAACCCCTCTTCCAAATGTCAACATTTGAGGTAGAAAAATGCCTGCTGGAATGGTAGAATTAGACATGGGGTTACGTTCACATTGCATGCTAAGTCTGAGTTTTGAATCCTTGGCTTTGACAAAAATGAAATACCCTGCGTTATTAAAAGTATGAATGGACAAAAATTTCTGAATGGGCAAAAATTCAAGTCTCAAAGCCTAGGCATCTGACCGGGACTTAACAAGCAGTGTATATGCAGGTACCTCCTTTGAGACAGAAACTGGAACTTAACGCACAACCTGAAGACAAAGACAGAACGCTTGTCTCGTGCTGAAAGCCCCTGAAGATAAAACATACACATCCTCACTCCTCAACTGAACCACGGGAGACAGAACATCTGCTTCCAAGGCAGTACAACATGAAGAGAGAGGCTGATGTAAAGAGGATTATCAAAGTGGCACTTTGCCTAAGTACCCTCATTCTTCTCTCTCACATATTTTATCCAGATAACATGCTGATGATCAGGCATTTTCCAAGCTGCACGTGGAAAATTTCAGAAACCCACGCAATAAGGATTTCTCTGCTGGAATTGCAGAGCAGGAAAAACCAAACCAGCAGGCTGGGAATTCTTACATGGTGCATTTTACAGTAATCATTGCATAACACAGCACTTCTACATGGAATGTAGTATTTTAAACCTTTTAACGTTAATTGATATATCTAGATTACCACTAAAAATACCATGCCAGGCTCCAAATGCCTAACTACTATGGAAATAGCAAAACTTTGAATTCAAATAAGAGCAGCATCTAGAAACGTAATGTGAGATTCTCTTCTTGCATAAAGCAATGCAACTCCATTTAAACAATGACTTCACACCAATTCATATTGCTTTAAGGCTCTGACTCTGAATCATACATAGACAGCTTTACCTATCCCAGATTTATTCATCTTCCTATCATAGTACTGATTAAAATAGGAGCACATGTCTTTTCCTTTGCTCTTCTCAAATCAAAATGCACAAAGAAAAATACTTACGACAAGTCACTGAAGTCTGGAAAGACATACATGTGCCTAAAGCTATCAATGGCAATAACAGGGCAGTCTGCTGGAGTCTTCTGAATATGGAGGAGTGGGTGCCTGAATTTATCACAGTCAGCATGGAGGAAGTTTATTGTACCTTAAAATTTTAAGCAGACAAAAATCCATGGTAATTTTTTTTTATTATCTTGAAACCCTAAACACTGTAATAAGTATTATAAAGGTGGAGACATTAGATAGACCCAACACACAAAACTTGAAAATAGATTTAAATAACTAACACCACCAAAATAGTGGGTTTTTCTTAAAGTGTTTTTGGCCACAATACAAACTGAAGTTTTGTTTAATGCCCTCTCAAACTGCATGAAGTCATTTAGACAAGAAGGACTTCTGAAATAGTTACTTACTAATAATTTGTGTTACCTATTTTAATCATTTCCAGAGGAGTTGGTCCTCACTGTCAAAAGTACATAAAGCCCTTCAGACTCAAGAGCTTTAAAGCTAGGATTCTGTTTGGCCTTTGCGTCCACTCTGAGTTTGCCTGAAAAAAATTATACCAGTAAAAACAAGAAGTAGTAGGAATTACTACAAACCTTTTTCACTTATTAACTGTCGTGCAACCTCCTGTTGGAATTTCTCTAAACTCTCCAAGTCATCTTTCATGTGGAAAAGTATGAGAAAAGGAAGGCCTTCTTCTGTCAGTTCCTGCACAGAAAACAAATGACAAATCTCATTTCTTAAGGGCACTCAAAGTAAGCGATTCCAGCGATTTTAAAATTCAGTGAGGTCTCTCTGAAGAGAGAACAGCTGAAAGAACAGGACTAAAGATGTTAACTGCTGACCCTTCAGCTAAGATACCCAAGTGATACAGTCGACCATGTTTCCTTCCTCTGTATCATATACAGCAGATAAAGGATGAAGGTATTTCATTATCAATATTTTGGGAAGGGATACACTTGCACTGGAAGAGTTGCTCAAAAGAAATAGCCCAACTCTGAGAAAACAACATCTTCAGAGAAACAGCAGTAAGGCCTGAACAGCATGGTATTAAATGCTATGAAAAGCTGAGTGTGTATTCCAGACCCAGTCCTAGCTTGGTTCATGTACTAAGTTGGTGTTTTCTTAGCATACCCCAATAAATGAATATCTTTAAGTAACTCCATCTTTAAAAAAAAAAAAAAAAAAAAAAGCAAAAAAAAAAGCAGAAGCTAATGACATAGCTGTATCGGTTACGATCAAGTACTGCTCTTTTGCCAGTAAGTGTGTCCTGACTGGTCATCTGTATAACACCATTATTAAATTCACAGTCTAGTATATTACTAAAATTGATGAAGAAATTAAAACCTTTGTTGGACAGACAAGCTTTAGTTCCTCATAGAAATGCGTTCTTGCAGCCTGAGTGCCTATTAAAGATCTCTGTCCAGGGACAGATAAGTGTAGGAACTCCTTGAATAATTTATTCAGGATTTTTCTTTTACTCAAAACACAAACAACACACATTTGCTTGCTTCAAAAGCGCATTTTGGACACCTCTGAACATCAGCTCAACTTGCTAGAGCCTGATTGAAGAAATAATCGTTTATCATCTCACAAATGCCTACAGTCTTGCCTATCTTTCACTTGCACAACTGGTATACAAGCAAGTGCTGCTATTTCTTTGATTCTAGCCTGTATCAGAATAAAATCTATGGTTTTTGAGACAGATAGCACTCATTCGTTCTGCCACCAAATAGAATAGTTTCTTCAGGTATTTTTGATTTGCAGTAAGTTGGAAGAAACGCTTTCTGTATCAGTAGGCAGCGAGTTACATAGTGTACATGAAATGGCTGTCATTCTCCCTTCAACTAAGTCTGTCAGGTAAGTTGAAGCTTGGTCTTTTAACAGCATATTGCAAAGATCCTAATAAATTCAGTGCTCTTGACAAAATCCAAGCTTCCCAATCTATCCCTAAACCAACCACTAATCACATCTGCTCATTCTCATTTTTACACGTGAATTCGGCTGGGTCTCAACCCCCTCTCCTATTTCGAGAATGTGAAAAAGTCTGTTTCGTACCACTACGATTACGGCTCCATTTCCTCACTCATTTCAGCAGGTACATTTCCAGAGGGAGAACTCCCAAACAGAGATTGGTATTCCGGCTCTAAGCTCCCCTGTTGCTTGTAAGAAGCTGAAAGGACAACCTCGGTTTTGATATCTGCATTGTTAAAACCCTTATATGTGGCAAGTTATATTTGCAAGATCAATTCATCACCAAACAGGTTGTTAGGAAAGCTGGCTTGAAAGCCTTGCTAAATTTTGGCCCTAACTGGTTTTTATGAAGTACTTTCCTTTGTTTGCTTTTCTATTCCAGCTTTCTTAGCATGTCTTACTGATCAGGACACGGCAAGTGGAATAGCAATTTCACTTGCTTTGGACTGCTCCCTCAAAAGCTACTGTCTCATTTGGCACTGAGAATATCAAAAGATTGTTCATTAGATCTGAGCTGCCCACATTACTCCCGCGTGCCTTTGAGAAACCTTTTACCCTTTCAAAAACTTATAGTTCATCACCACTGTTAGACCACACAGTTCATTGTATTCATACAATGTAAAACTAAACAGACTGACTACAGGTTAAACAGTGATTTCTTCTGAATGATATTACTATTCCAAATAGCCTTTTCTTGTCAAGCACAGGAACTGTCTCTCAAACAGACAGTCTTCTCAAGCAGAAGACCTTGCTTCAGACTTCAATTACTATGTGTTGTCTAAAGTCACAATGATGAACTCTGTTCAGATCAGGCATCTTCCTACCTAGCCTGCCCATGACACTCATCAGATAATGAAAACATTAAAAAGAAAATGAGGAAAAAAACCACCAGCAGTTTACAGAGGCCAATTTTTATTTTAAAATTGAATTTAAAGTCTGTCACAGAAATTTTTGTCTTTATCTTATTGAGACGGTGTTGCGGCTTAACCCAGCAGGCAGGTAAACACCACACAGTTGTTCACTCACTCCCCCCTCCCCAGTGGGATGGGGGAAGGAATCAGGAAAAAAAAAAAGAAAAAGAAGTAGTAAAATTCATGGGTTGAGATAAAGACAGTTTAACAGGACAGAAAAGGAAGGGAAAATAATAACAATAATAATAATAATCATCATCATCATCAAAATAAGTGATGCACAATGCAATCATTCACCACCTGCTGACAGATGCCCAGCCAGTTCCTGGGCAGCAGTAAGCCCCCGGCCAACTCCCCCCAGTTTCTATACTGAGCATGACATCATATGGTATGGAATAGCCTTTTGGCCAGTTTGGGTCAGCTGTCCTGGCTGTGCCCCCTCCCAGCTTCTCACTGGCACGGCATGAGAAGGTGAAAAGTCCTTGACTTAGTGTAAGCACTACTTAGCAACAACTAAAACATCAGCGCGTTATCAACATTATTCTCATGCTAAATCCAAAAACACAGCACTATGCCAGCTACTAGGAAGAAAAAAAAATTAACTTTATCCCAGCCACAACAAGAACTTGTGGTATTCTAGTACCATAAACACAGCTTAACAGTCATAGCACTTCATATTTTTACCCTGTAATATTGTGCAGTATGCATTAAAAGCCCATTTAATTACTACACAATTTCAGCAGGCAGAAATATGTCAATTTTGGCATGTTTAAATTTGTTTGGGTACTGGCAGCACGGAAATTTTTAAACAAGTGTTGCTAGGCAAAATGTCACACTGGAATTGTGAATATCTGCCTAAGTAAACAGGAATTGAGGGTTGAGAGAACCAGAAAAACCATGACACAATGTGGAACAAGCTGACAGTGATGAAGCTTGGCTTCTAAGGCTCAGAATCCAAGTTCACCATGGGAAAAGTACACTGAAAATCTACCACACACTTCTAAACATGTTATCATGTGGCATCTTTTACATATTGAGTTGCAAATGAAGAATTAAAATTTCTTTAACTATCAGAACTTTCCAATAAAAGTTGGTGGCATTGACTAGAAGGTTGTACTTAAACCATTTTGTGCATTCCACCCTATCCCTCCCTCTGTCATGTAACCTGACGTGTTGTGCGTGCTCCAAACATCAGTGTTATATACACTGCAGAGTCAGAATAAAAAAAAAAAATAAAAAAAAAAAGAGAAGTGTGCAAACTGAGAACAAATCATATGACTGATTATTTAGTTTCTAATACAGTGTGGACAACATACTGTAATTTGTCACACACCTCACCAGAGTTTCTAGCAGATACTCTGGCCATTTACAAACACTCCTTTTGAGATACTACAAACTTGCTAATTTTCTGAAGGGTTTTTTTTTTCCCTGTTGGTTATTGTGCAAAAGAAATTTTATAAAACGGATTTGGAAATAGATGAAAGAGGAGTAAGTTACAAAAGAAAACAGAAAGGCATTGAAAGAAAATAAGGATAATGAGAAGAAAAGAGATGTTTAAAAGCAAACCCCCAAATTCCATCTTACGAATTACAGCTCAAAGAAGAAACCCAAGGGAATTTTTTGAAGCTAAAAAGATTAAAAGGTACCAGTGCTTAAACACAGATTGGGGGGGGGGAAATATCACATGGTTTTTATTACAATTCCCAGAAAACTGCCAGTTCCATAGGTGGTCAGCCACCATTTAATGTGCTTATTTATTAGATAATGCTTTGGAAGTCGTTAACACAGAAACATTTAAAATGTAATGTTAAAGTTAGTAGTAGAAAAAAGCTGATTATAATTAAGGGATAGTTCACAACTATTTCACTCTTTCAAACTGTCACAGACATGCTGACATGGACATTTTCTACCCTGACTAGAACCAATTTTTCAAGGTCATAACAGATGCAAAAATCAATTAAATAACATTTATGTCTGGATCTTAAATCAACATTTAGTGATAACATCTGTATAAATAATATGTACTTAATTTAAATGAATAATGCAACCTACCCAAGGTATTACACACCCATACATACTTAGACACACACCTTCTTACACACGCACATTCTTAGTGTCCAAGCATCCACACTCCGCAAATCACCAGACACTTCTTGTGTAAACTATATGCATGATTATAACCTCTTACTCTGGTACTGTATGAGACCACTACAATCTGTCTCCAGTGAACTTCAAGTCTAGCCAAAAAGCTCCAAAAGAATGAAAAGACATTACCTGGCAGCTATTTTCTGTCAAAAGCAAGGCATGCAGAAAGTTCTTTGGCATGGATTAAAGACCTTGAAAGAGACACTTTGGTTTTGAGAAAGAAAAACCAAACGTAGAATGGTAGAAAAAATTCTTACCTCCCCATTTTCAAATGTAATTTCTCGAACTAGTGGTACGCATTTATCTTGTGTCCACGCATAAATCAAATCAAAATTTGTTAGCGAGCCTAAATACACCATATCTGGAGCATTTTCCTGTTGAAAAAGAAAAATACACTAGCTGAGAAACAGTAAAAATGACACTGCTATGTACAAAGTACATTACTTAATCCAACATAAAAGTAACAATATCCATAACTGAAAGTCAATCTTACACCAATATTCAACCCTTGTGCATGCACCAGTTCTATTAACTAGGTTACAAAAGTACAACAGGAAAATAAATGCTAGAGATGATAATTTATGCAGTCAACTCCACTTAAGAAGAACTGAAAAGATACTTTATTTCCAAATTAGGGGTGCTTCAAAAAGAGGCTGTTTAGAGTTCTATCAGGCTGAGAAATAGTATCTCCATACCTAAAAAACCCATTTAGATATAAACTAAATGCAGATATTAAGCTTCTTCAAGCTGATAGTTACAAAGACTCACCAAAAAAACCTCCCAGTGTCCTACAGGACTTGAAACTTGTATTTTATATTCGCTTTGCCAGAGAGATATGAATAAATAATAGTTTTCCTTTATTTGCTGGTAGTTTTAACTCAGAATTCAGTCCTGCCATCTTTTCATGTAATTACAGTTTTGGTTAACATGAAGCGAAGCATGACTTCGCAAGCTGTGGCCATGATTAAGCACACCTTAATTCAGAAACAGAAACGCCATATAAATTAGGCAACCTAATAAAATCTGTTTTCGCAGAAAAAGGTTTGAAACTCCCTCCCCCCTTAGGTCTTTTTTAATCTATTTCTCTTTTGTAAGCAACTCTCTTCATACATTATATTTGAGAAAGGAGCAGATTGCCAGATATTAATTATGTTTCTAAAAAGCCATTCTTGCAGATTTTCTTCTGTACTCAATTTTTCCTCAAGTAAAACTATGTTTATGAGAGTTTGTTAACATACAGTTAATTTTATTAATTCCTTTTTTTTTAAATGAAGAGAACAGCTCTTAGCCCTTGTGGGCTAAGACACACAAGACAGGCAAGTGATAGTCAGAAAAATACTTTGTAATTGTCACTTGCTTTGTAAAACACGAAGTGCACCAGCTGTTGAACTTCACAGATTTTTAAGACTTCTACAGAACACAAAGTCTCTATACACATGATGAGTCGACTGTGTTTCTTAAGAAAAACACCCCCACATTTCTGGACATTGACATTTAAAATGACAGATTTTGGTTTTGTGCATTAATTGGCCACAAATGAGACAGAGATCTTTTTCACTGACTCAGAAACACTAGTTCCTACGACCCTATTTCTCAGACTATTTAGTGATGAAATAAAATTAAGAGCTGAGATGCAGTAACATACTGAATGATCTGATTATAGCCTCCATTAGTTCATATTCACATATAATGATAATAAGCAGAATAAAATACATAGTTACACTTACCCCTGGTGGCTTGTAGATTACATTGTCTCCGCTAAATCTCTCTGCTTTTGAAATAGCCCTACAACAAACCAACCAGTAAGCATGTCTTGGTACGGACAAATAAAATAACTGAGATACCAAAAATCATATTTTAATTTGCTATCCTTTCTTTACTTTTTTTTTTTCCCTTAAAAAAATTGGAGAATTAAAATCCTTGATCTTTAAAGTAAACTGTAAAGTGACTCCACAGAAACTTGGCCTGGCTAGATGAGAGGGCATTAAGGGAGTCAGCAAGATGTATCCCTAAGATTAGAAGTGTGGACTAAAGGCACTGAAGTGCAAGTGATGAATGTAAGTACAACTCTGGATAAGAGACCAGCAGAGAAAAATGTTACAGAATTAATATAATCTGGTAAATTTAAAACAAATTAATACCTTTTCTTAAGGAAGGAGAGAAAGGTGGATTGTTGTTTGCGTTTATTCTTCCTGTTCTGTTGTTTACACTAGAAATTTACATCTTATCTACCCTGATAAAGAAGGGCTTTGAGGTGCTCTACTGGCACAGGCAATGAGAAAAATTATAGCAAACAAGCCCATACTGTCCATTTTACCCTCAAACCAGATCTAGAGAGCACAAGATACAGCATGCAGTTTCTGACCACTCATGATATGGTATGTGTGTACCTGGAGAACACACGCAGTTCCTTCTCTGTATTCAGCTTACTACATCACCTTAGTAAGTTCCTCCCCTGCCTCTGGAATATTTTGTGGTTCCTTAATCCCAGTCACAACAGAGCGCCCTGAAAGCTGCTAGGTTGTACCCCCAAAATTATCATCTCTTATTCAAACAAATGGGGACAGCTATGCATCCAACATAGGAGAGAGAGAAAAAAATAAAAATAAAAAAGAAAGGTGTCAACAAAAATAAACCCTTTCACCACGTTCAGACATCAAAAGAGGCCTCCTATCTTCTTCTCTCCCATGCCTTGCTGTTCCAATGTAACTCATGAACTGACTGACTGCATAAGCCACAAAAGAGTAAAATGAACTACCTATTTCTTTTCCTTTTAGCATAGGCTAAAAAGAAAGCATGCCAGCCTCTGGGAATTGTTAGCTATGTGTTCCAGGTTCTCCAATTATAGTATCTCTTCTGTGGACTCAATATAAGCATTGGTGAAGACTGGTTAAGAGATGTAAAGGGCGGGGGGTG